TTAGTTTAGAAAAATGATGAGATATTAATTTACCATAACCATAGGGATGCGATTCATCGGGAGGTTTTCTTGATTTTCGAAATGTATATAATGTTACAAAATCGCTAATTAGATCTAAATTGAATTAAAAGCACATCAAGGTCAATGTCAATGTCAATAACGTTTACACAGTATAAAAAGTTACCTTATTTATTAGTATTTCTCATATATAAATAACAGGCATCATCGAAGTGATGCTGCATCCAGCTTAGTCGCATTGGTCTCGATTGGAGGAAGTGCTTTCGGTTTTCCACTTCTTGATCCTATAGGTGGAATTTTAGTAGCTGGAATGATTCTGAAAAATGGAATTGAAATTATGATATCATCGGTAAAAGAATTGGTTGACATGGGAGTGAAAGAAGATGTTATAAAGAAAGTTGAAAAGGCTGTTTATAAAATTCAGGTTTTCATTTTATTAAACATGTGGCTATGCATACAACTTATAATATTATATTCTTATATAACTCTCTTTATTATTAGGGCATTGAACCAGGTATTATCAAATTTCATAACATAAGAGGTCGCAAGTCTGGCCCATTTCATTTGATTGATATGATCGTACAGGTTGATCCAGACTTGAAAATTTCCAAAGTACGTCATATTGAGGAGGAAATACAAAAAGAGGTTAAAAAAGAATGTAAAAGTGTCAAAGAAGTCTTAGTGAATTTAGACACTAACGATATTAAACACTAAACGTTTTAACTTTAACGGACGTAGTTGGATAACGAATTTTTACGGATATAGTAACGATGAATTTGTAAATTAAATTTAAAATTCCAATTCTTCTTCAAACTTTAAATGTTATTTCATTGTTCACATTTTAACTAACTTATTAATCTGGATACAATAGTATATTCATTTTTCCTATGAGCAATATTTAGATAAATTACTCAATAAACGTATTTTATTTTTTAACCCTCTTTATCAAAGAAGGAGACAACACGTTGACACTTTGATCTGTTGTTGAATTTACATTGTCATTTTGAACTGAAATTGAAGTTGCTTTTCTTTTGACACGCATCTGCAAATTATTAACCGGAGTGGCATTAAGCTGTTGACTATCATTATGTGTTACGGTACTATTATTTACCGTAAATTTAATAACTAAATCTTCTGGATTAGCTTTTTCTTGTAATTCAGAAAAATAACGACACCAATTTGAAGTTGACTCAATTGCAGC